AGTTGGGGAAAGTCTGCTGATTGGTTGGTCTGCTAAAGTTATGGAAACACTGTGCAAAGGCCATCTCCTGCTGCAGCTTCCGTGCAGATTTGCCAAATGGTTGGTTAAGCAGCTTCTAAACAACAGTGTCATGGTTGTGCTGTCAAAAGCAAAAATAATGTTTAAAATGAGCCAGTTGCACACATATACATAAAAAGTGAGCATAAATGTTTTTTTAGGTGCCCATTTTAACAAAAATCTATTAAGCTGGAAAGAGTTCACACATGGAGGGTTATGTTATTTGCCTGATTGTCATTATGCAAATAATTGCATTTGCCTAATGGTGTCATTATGCAAATGACACGTGTCGTTTGCATTCATTAATGTCAGCTAAGTAACGATGTCATGAACCTAGCCAAATATGTGGTAACATCTACAGTATATCAGTATTTCTCAACCTTGGCAACTTTAAGATACATGGACTTCAACTCCCAGGATATCTGTAGAAAAAATGAGTCCCCAGGCCATAGGTTTGATTTTACTTAATCTTACAGGCCTGCATTGTCCACTACACCTAAAACATCAGACTAGTTTAGGGGACCCAGCACAGATTAATTTAAGAGGCTGACTTGGCTGCATGGAATTTAAGCAAGCAATGGGTGGAGCCAAATCCAAAAATGAGTAGGGCTATTCATTTTTTTAAATTATTATTATTATTTCTGGCATTCTTTTTGTACACTGACTTTTCTTTTCTTTTCTTTTCTTTTCTTTTCTTTTCTTTTTGTATATAATTTTATTGTAATTTTTACACATAAGAATAAGGCTAATACAAACTAAAACAGAGTGAAAAAGAAAAAGGAAAAATACTAAAGGTGCAAAAAGAAAAAGAGTAGCAGAAAAATAGAAGAGAAAGAAAAAAGATCTAAAGAAGCAGCTTCCAATCTTTACAGCAGTTATAAGTACAATCATAAATTGACCTGTCACTCTAAAGTTACATTGTGGCTCTCTTCCTTCTATAATCTATCCTATCTAATCCTCAAAACCATAAATCATAAGTTCATTTTTTCTTGTTTATGCAAAAAGTCCATAAGGGGTTTCCAGCCACCAATAAACATAGTTATTGTCTTTTCTCTAATCAAACAGGTCAGCTTGGCCATTTCAGCGAGTTCTGTCATCTTTACCAACCATTCCTCTGTGGTAGGTATTGCCAGATCTTTCCATCTTTGTGAGTATAATAATCTTGCTGCAGTTATCATATATAAAAACAATGTTCCGTGACTTTTTTCCAACTGCTTATCCATCAGTCCCAAGAGGAAACATTCTGGTTTCAGTTGAATGTTAATCTTTAAAATCCTCTGAATCACTGTATGCATTTGAACCCAAAATTTTCTAGCTTTTTTTGTACACTGACTTTCTGACACCACACAGCAGGCTGGGACAGAATGCTCTTGCCAAAAGTCTGAACTGAATACTTGCAGAGGACTTTCAAAATCAATCCAAGGGCTGCATGAAATTAAACTGAGGCAGCGGTTTGCTCATCTTAGAATGATAAGGCTGTTTCTGGCCTAAGGGGTCTCTTGTTGTGTGCCCCCCCACCATCATCTATTCGCCCCCCTGAAACTCTGTGATGATATACTTGGATCGCCAATCAGTTTCAAGAAAGGGAGGTTGGTCTGACAGCAAGCTCAGGGAATCATCAGCCAGAAGAATCTATGGCAGCCCTGCTCACATTGTACCGAGATAACATTACCCAACCCTGGAACCATCCAGATATGTGGACTGCTGCTTCTAGAATTCTCAGCAACAGCCATGATGGCTGGGGAATTCTGGGAAGTGAAATTCACACAGCTGGCTGATGCCCAGGTGGGAAGGCTGTGTCAGAGATTTCAGAGTAGATAAATGTTCTCCTGCTTCCAGTTTTAAAGAACTTTATGCCTAACACACTGAGCCAGACTATTGGTCACCTACCCAAGCCCGGTGTCGCATTAGGATTCTCTCAGGCTAATTTTTTCCTATCCTTCCTGTACCACATTGCTACAACTAGAGATTAAATCTGGGATTTTCTGAAGTATCTCTTCTTCTCAATTGCTGTTTCAGCACCAGCATTTGTAGCAGAATGAATAGGGGAATGAGGCAACTAGGTAATTCTTCTGACCTTTGGTTTCAAAAACTATTGCAAAGGCTTCGAGAAAGTTGGGATTGATATGCCATAAACAAGTTTCTATTCCCTGTTGAATAAAAGCATGGCTGAATTCCTAATGAATTTATTAATGCGTGGATCTGTATGAACTTTGATCTTCAGATAAGGTCCTGCTTCAGATGGAAATAGGTTAGTTTCACTAAAATCAGAGTATTTTCGGTCGTGGTTCTGGTGTCTGAAATGTCTTTTTCTGAAAAGTTCACACGGCAACCTTTCTCCTGCATTTTCAAAGGCAGGTTTTACTTTCAATGACGCTTTGAAGCCCATACCTGGTGTAACAGTATGGCTGTTTCCTGAACTGATTGGTTTTACTTACTAATGTAATTGTCATGGTAATTACTAACATGATTACCTACTTGGAACTGCTCACTTGTATTATCCTCTGGGACAAGTTAGTGAACTAGTCCCTTGTTTCTCTCTAGTGAAGGCCTGGGAGCTTAATCCAGTCTCCCAGCACAGCAGAAAGCAAAATCCTGTCAGAGTGAAAATTCAGGATGGAATCGGCAAATACTCAAACAGATTTTTCACATTCAAGTCTTAAATCCTTACTTCCCTGAGTGGAATTTTGCTTTGCGAACAGGAGCTTTCTTACCTCCGCAGCAAACCCCATGAGCCCTCAAATGTATTCCTGAGATGAGGAAACCAAAGAGAAGAATATGAAATACGGCATTTAGAGCTGCAACAGGGTATGCTGTGTGCTTTCTCTCCCAAATACTTTTCACTAAATCAGAGAATCTTTGGATCTGAATCACAGCGAGTAGTTGATATTCCTGTCATGCTGAGCAGCTGCCATCTGTGTTTGTCTGAAGGAGATGATTTTGTGAGGCGACATTCCTGTCAGAGCATCCCATTCTAACAATTTATGGCAGTGTTGTCCAAACTTGGCCACTTTAAGATGAGTGGACTTCAACTCCCAGA